GCTGGTAGGTTTCGAGCTTTTAGAAAGTAACCGTTGTGGTAACACTTCAAGCTTATTGTACTCTGCTTTTCGTGTACTATATACATCTTCGTCAGTCTTCCCGATTTCCACATCCTAAGTTTGATGCTTACTATTGCTAACCTCATTATATGAGCAAGTAATTTCCACTCGTTGTTATTTAGACCCAAAACCGACGTGTGATCCAAACGAGCGCTTTGTGGAGTGCAGTTCATTGTGTGAACCTACCTGCGAATGGCCCACTGGTCAACCTTGCGTGAAAAAGTGTGGACCACCAAAATGTGAATGTCTTCCGGGATTTGTTCGAGATCAAGGAAAATGTATACCGCCTGATCAGTGTCCACCTATTGGTGCGTCTTGAGAGTATCGATACTTTTGCTACAACTCCTGAGTCCTTCTCAAATGTCTATCGCTTACGATTTCGTATATGCACTTCACTGTTTTCTTATATTGTCTTCGGTCCATGATTTCCAAATTACTGCATCATTGCCAGTAGAATCTGAATGAGGTGGTAGCCTCAGTGTGGTGGCTTCAGTTAATAATTATGTATCAGCCAGCATTGTCGATATCTCATAATGGAACGGAATGAATTGTTATTTGTGATGTTTTCAAGTTAATATTTGACGAACACAAGCCACTAACAATGTCGGGTAAAGGTTTTGTTCAAATTGCCATGCAGAATCAAGCATTTCATTGAGACTTCAAAGCATTTTCAAGCACTCTACTGCATTTTCATGTTCATTGAATGAATTTTCATTCTTTTCTGGGTTCTATTCATCCATCTCATTCTTTTATCAATTTCTTCACGTTTTCTCATTCCCTGCAAAAAACATTTCGCAATATTCTCATTCCATGCAAACGACGTTCTATGCACAATCTCATTCTATTCCACATTATGTCTATCATTGAAACTAACAACTTCTGCAGATCAAGTATAGAGCAAACGCACTGCAGTGAAACAAATCAATCAGCACATGCATTTCATGCGTTGAATTGTATTCACAGCGATTTCTGCCCGAACAGTGGAAACATTTCAAGTGAAAAGGCTCGTAAAGATAATGAAAACCCATAAAGGCATGAGATAAGACCTTACACTTGAATAAAATCTGAAACATGAGCAGACGGTAGTATATTTGAGATTCTTAGAGAACGCATTTAATGATAACGAGTCTAATATTGGATGAAATTCCCGAAATCATTTCTTGGATCAATGGAATTGACCAACGTTTTCAATGGATGAAAGAAGCATCTGCTACAATGAAAAACAAACCTATTCGAAGTATATGGGCTTGTCATCAGCGTGAGCTCGACATCCTAAAAATGCGAATACTCACCGAATTACTTATGTTTCAACCGTTTGGCAGTGAATGAAAGACAAGCAGTATGTCGCGAAATAAGGAGTTCTCATTGAGAAAAAGTGCTTTATATTGGGCTAGTTCCTTAGAGCATTTATTACACCGTCGATATTACTCATTTACAGACATTAATAAACTTAAAAACTTCAAGACCCGAGAAGGTAGATATTCATACACATAAGCCGAGCAATTCCCATCCAAGTATATGGTCACTCGTTTTGATAGATGAGATGTTTAGTTCGAATGGCATGAAACACTGATACGACGTTGATCAAATTTAGACTGCTGATAGCTGAAATTGATATCATAAAATGCAGAAAATGAAAGCACACATAAACGATCAGTAGGCTTCGAACGAACAGTTTTCTTTCACCAACTTTTATTTCTTTCCAAATCATTGAAGCTTATAAATGGAACATATCGAAAGAAGGATAAAATTCCCACATATCCTACATATTATTGAGCATATTCAAGGCTCGCAAGTGGAATAGCATGAGATATTGGTGCCTTTAACAAAAAACTGCTGTAGTTTTATAAATCAACTACTTCAAATTGAATGCAACCAACTATTTCTGTGCTTATATTTCTGGAACATCTTTGGATGTAAAGATAGATAGTTTGTGAAAAATGAAGTTTCCCTTAACAACACAAAAGCATTGCTTAAAATTGGTTACCATCTCCATCTTGCAATCGCAAAATATGAAAAGTCTGGTAGCCAAACCTGACCGTAATGACAGCCTGAAGATATTTCCATTGAAACATGGAAACAAAGATCACAGATAATCGAAGGAGTCAATAGATCTTGAAGTGAAGATTCCTTTGACGAATATAAGCAAACTTCCTTCAGCTGAAAGCAAGCTCGGTCTAGAAAACAGAGAATTTGGATTATCTTGGACCTATACATCGGTGATCATGGGAGATGTACTCCTCGCGACCAACGTCCGTCCATGGGTGTACACAAACATGTCCACCCGTTGAAATACTCAGACTTGTGAATCAGTAGTCCAACTATAATTCAGGTCCTCCAGCTATCTGTGGTCCAAATGAACGTTTCGTCAACTGTAGTTCATTGTGTGAACCTACTTGCCAATCGAAACCCAACCAACCATGCCCACTTGTATGTGGACCGCCAAAGTGCGAATGTCTACCGGGATACGTTCGTGATCAAGGCAAATGCATCCCCCCGGAACAATGTCCATCTGCAGGTGAATGATTGATTCCTAAGAATCACTTAAAATGACCTGAATCACATAGCGTAAATTGACACATTTACCCCAAATCTACGCAAAATTTACCGCAATTTCATTCGTCTCTCTGCTCTCTGCTCAGCAATAATCTTCCCTATCATACAGATCCAACCTGTGGTCCAAATGAGGAGTTCGTGACGTGCAGTTCAAAGTGTGAGCCAACATGTGAATCGCTGCCTGACCAGCCCTGCATCTTGATGTGTGGCCCACCGAAGTGTCAATGTCGTCCTGGCTTCGTTCGTCACCAAGGAAGGTGTATTCCTCGTAGCCAATGTCCATCTGCTGGTAGGTTTCGAGCTTTTAGAAGGTACCGTGACGCTAAAACTTCAAATTGAGAACTGAACATCACAGTCAGCGCTGGAAATTCAACCTATAGTACCGTACAGACTACTGAATGACCTGAAAATACCGTTTCTTCAATCACAGCGCCACCTAATCAAGCTTACACACTCGCGTCTTGACCACCCATTTAAGGATATCTTGAGGTGTATATTACTTATGAACAAAAACGTATCTCCCCTATTTATTGTAAACTGCCCTTAGTTTACGATATACATCTTCATCATGCTTCCCGACTTCACAAGCTCCCGGTTTCTCGACTGAATCTGACATTTAATGTTACTGATCTCATTATAAGGGCAAATAAATTCAATTTGTTGTTATTTAGACCCAGAACCAGAATCGACCTGTGGTCCAAACGAACGATTTGTGGAGTGCAGTACATTGTGTGAACCTACCTGTGAATGGCCCACTGGTCAACCTTGCGTGAAAAAGTGTGGACCACCAAAATGTGAATGTCTTCCGGGATTTGTTCGAGATCAAGGAAAATGCATACCGCCTGATCAGTGTCCACCTATTGGTGCGTCTTGAGAGTTTGGATATTTTTGCTACAGCTCCTGAGTCCTTCTCAAATGTCTATCGCTTACGATTTCACATCTTTACTTCGCTGTTTTCTCAGATTGTCTTCGGTCTGCGAATTTCATATTGTTGCATCATTATTCTGGATCTTGTTCCGGATATCGGATAAAATTTTATTTGGAACTCATTCCGGATGAAATCGGAGACTTTTATTTCAGGCATTTTACTTTCTTAATGCAAGTTCCATCTGCGTTTCATATATACACGGAAAGACATTGGCATTTAATGTGTATAGTCTCGATAACAGCACACAAGCATTGCTTAAAACTGGTTACCATCTTGCAGTCGTAAAATATGAAAATTCTGGTAGTAAAATCTAACCGCAGCAATAGCCTGAAGATATTTCCATTGTAACATNTCCTGAGTCCTTCTCAAATGTCTATCGCTTACGATTTCACATCTTTACTTCGCTGTTTTCTCAGATTGTCTTCGGTCTGCGAATTTCATATTGTTGCATCATTATTCTGGATCTTGTTCCGGATATCGGATAAA